CTAAAAAAGAGACTTTAGAAGGAATCTAATTTTTCAAGATTTTGGGTGCCAAGGTAATATTATCATTTATATTGATATACATTTTTCAATTATCTTCATTGTTTATGTGCTTTATGTATTTCAATTGGTCTTCACGAAAGATATTTGAGGTTAGGCACACTTCAGCCGTTGGGAACAAGTTCACACTGGACCTGGACACTAAAGAGTGTAGTTGCAGAAAGTGGATGATTAGTGGCATCCCATGCTGTCATGCAATTGCAGCAATGAACTACTCAAATGTTGATCCAGAGAATTTTATACCCACTTGCTTCACAAGATCCACATATGAAGAGGCATATGCCTCCATAATTTTTCCAGTCAATGGCTACCTACTATGGGAAACTACAAATTGCAATGATGTACTACCACCAATGATGAGGAAGTTGTCTGGGAGGCCAAAGAAAAAAAGGAGGTTGGAGGCATGGGAGCTAACTAAGGATGACACTCAAATGCGTGTTGGTGGGCATAGGAAAAAATGTAGCATTTGCCGTCAGAGGAGGCACAACAAGAATAACTGCCCTTTACGGCCTCAGCCAGCAGCAACAACCCAATCAGCACAAACAACCTAGTCAGCACAAACAACACAGCTAATGGACGAAACACAACCATCACAACCACATCCAAGTTCCCAAACCCCTCTACCATCACAGCCACCAAGTCCCAAACAACCCATCCAGCAATGTTGAGGACAAAATTAGATGTCAGAAGAAAAGATAGTTAGATGAATTGGATGTATTATGTACTCTCATTAAGAACTTCATGTGTTTACTTTCATGGTGATGTATTATGTACTATTAGTTAGATGAATTGGATGTATTATGTACTGTCTTTATTTTGGTCACAAGATGAACTAATATTTTGATCATGTAGTGGTAATATTTATGTATGCTAACGAAGGAAAGTGCTTTGATGATATTTTGGTCATAACATGTACTCATAACCTGTACACATATTTTGGTATAACTTGTACTTAGATTTCTTATTTCTGCACAAACTGGTAATATGTTTGTTTTGTCATCATCATATAAATTATGGGGTTGACCTATGTGAATATTTTTAAAGCAAATGGGGGACTGATTCGAACATTCTCCACTGAATTTAACTCATTAAAATAGTCAATGGTACGTAATACATTGCATTAATGATCTTACACCAATCAAAACACCTTCACATTGCCAACCTACTTTTTTCAACCATCCAAATACATTACATGAACGTAAACAAAACATAAAACAAACACCCAATTTCCCCATCTAACTACATCAACCTAAACAGAACCTGAATATCACAAGGTCCAACGCAATACACACACACACACAAACCTACAACTAACAACTTCATCCTTTTCTACAAATCCTTCACTACATTTTCCAGCTCTCTTATCCTCCTCACAATTGTTCAATCTTTTTCATCAACGTTCTCTTCAGAACACCACTTGAAAAAGTTACAGGAGCTCCCAATTGAAGATTCACCATGTTATTCACCAAGTCAGGGAATCTATCAACAAATCCATCAAGTGAAGAAAACATAAACTCAGAAGGGTATACTTCAAACCTTGTAATGAGGACATCCCCAAAAATTTATCCCAGCATTCTTCGTAGTTGTCGCGACTTTGGTTACAGCAATATCACCACAGTAACAAGTAGGGATTATCCCACCTCCCCTCCAACCACCACCATGGGACGAACGAGAAGATCCTTTGGCCCAACTTTTCGAAAACGAACAACAACCTTGGGAAGATGCCATTCCTATCTCGCCCTAAACATTTTCCTCACCTCAAAGACCAAGTTCTCTGCAACCCAAACCCTAACCCCTATTTTTTTAACCTCTATTTATTTTCATAAATTTAACCTCAGACAGCCACGTATTCACCTATAATAGATGCCTCGTTATGTTTAGTTCACGCTGTCAGTTGCATCGTTAAAAAATTAACACCATGACCAAAAAGGAATAAATTGAACAGCTTTTTCATAAGTTGGGACCCTATTTAACTTTTTGAAAAAAGTAAAACGCATTTGAATATTCCTCTTTCAAGGGAAAAAAAAATATTAAGTCTTATAATAAATAATAAAAGAAAAAGGAGAAAGAGAATAAAAAATAAAATGAAACGGTCTGAATGAAAAAGTGGATAATAGTGATAGGTTATTTTAAAAGTTATATTTAAATTCTTATTATCATTTTAACTCTCTTTTTTCATACTAACATTTTCTTGCAATTTACTATTTCTACTGATTTAGTTACTGACTCATAAATTGTCTTCTATTAACAGAATAAAAATTGAAAAATATCTATACAAAAAATCATTAAAGCGTCATAAAAATTCAACATAAAAAATTATATTTTTTTCAAAAAGAAATTATAATTTAATTATGCAGATATTTAAAATTTATGTTTAAGAAAATATATAAACTGATTTAGTTTATAAACAAGAAAATCATATAAATATGTGAATTACTTTATATTTAATTCAACAAAATATTAAAAATTCAAATTGAAAGGCTTGGAGTTAAAAAGTACTCTAATTTGCTGATTTGTTAACTAATTTTTTAGTTTTATGAATATAATATTTTAAATTTTAGACTTTTCATGGAAAGTCTAGAAATGGCTACAATTGTTTAATTATATTATTAATTATCAACTAGTCGTCCTTGCCCTTATAGCTCAGTGGTAGAGCGTCAGTCTTGTAAACTGAAGGTCTGTAGTTCGATCCTGCATGAGGGCAAAGTTAAATATTTTATTTTTACCTCCTTTTGTTTTTAATTTTTTTCTTGATTTTTTTATTTTATTCTTATTTTTTTTATTTATTTTATTTTTATCATTTTCTTTTATTTTTTTTTATTTTATTTCTATCCTTTTTTGTTTATTTCGTTTTCATGTTTTATACAAGGATCATGAAAGTTTTTGAATCTATAAAAATGAGATTTTGATAAGTTGACTTTAATGTTGATTTTGATGTCTAAAGGTTATGGAATGATGTTAAGTTCTGCTATAAATTGTTCGAAGTTTATATAGTTGAGAAAATCTGATTGTTAAGTTGAATTTGAGTTTGAAAATCATTGTTATAAATTGTTTAAAGTTTATATAGTTGAGAAATTTTGATTAAGTTAAATTTGAGTTTGAAAATCATATAGATTTGAGTGAATTCATGAATTTGATGATAATTTAGGTTATATTTGAATATTATAAAATTATAAAGGAGATTGTTTTGATTTTACTAATATTGCATTCATATATAGAAAAATATTAGGTGATAAAAGTTTAAAAAGATTTCTATAACCTAGTCTACGTGTGAAAAATAACTATGGTGTTGTAGATTATAAAAATTTATCCGATCATGAGTAGAATGAGTTTCTATTATATAGTTTTGTTATGATGACAATTTAGTAAAAATAGTATGACACGAATATATCTTTTAATCTAATTTAACTTATGAGTATTATGAAAGTAGAATCAAATATCAATTATGTGTGTTTCGGCAGGATTTAGAACCTAATCCAAAACATTCAAAGTTGTCTGCTCCGATGTCCAGTTGTGCTGTCTTCTCTCTTCTACTTATCCAAGCCGGGGGAGGGTGCCTGCAAAAGACACTCCGACGCTCAAGTCAGTGACTTTGCGTAATAATCTTGTAATCAAGATTTAGTTATCAGAGCTCTAAGTTTGGGTTCCAGTTCAAGTTCAAGTGCAAGTTACCTGTACCATTTCCCAGACAAATATTTATAAATTATAATGAGCTTACCGTGACTCATTAACCACCAATGAATGACAATATTAATTGTCAATAAATGACAATTATTTTCATTAACTCCCCGACAATTATTATTATTATTAATTACCTTAACGGTTGATTTAACCGATCGGTTCACTGACCTAAGAGGTACCATCGGTCGGACGACTCTTCTGCACTTTTACCGTTCGGTCGGCTATGAGCCCGGTCGGCTATGAGCCCATAGTAACAATGTGTAATGTTAAAATATATGTATTTATGCATGAAAATTTGTTAAAACAACATATTACCATGTTTTGTATATTATTTATCAGTAATGAAAATAGTATTTTCTACGATGATGTTATACAAAAAAAAATCAATAATAATAAATCCAAGAAGATAGAAAAAAGATATATATATTGACGTTTTTATTTTTATTTTGAAGTAAAATAAATATAATATAATTCCCTTTGAAGAGGGAATATTATTTTGAAAAATTAATGAGAATGAAAGTTTATTTTAAAAAACTTTATAAATGTTTATGTAAATATTATTAAAATATTTGTTTACATTATTTTGATTATTAGTATTGTAACTATATTAATAAAAAAATTCTCCTTTATATACATTCATTTTTTATCACTTTATTTGTTAAATAACTATTTTTAAAATTCAAATAACTGCTAGCTATAAAAAACCATTTACACAATAAAAAGTTACTAATAATAAAATTATAAAAATTATTTCTTCACATAATTACTTTTTTATAAAAAATATTTTACAATATTATATATCCTTTCTTACACAATTCTTTTCAATTTTACTTTTTATGTAATTACTTTTTAAAATCAAATAATACTCGTAATAAAAAAAAACTAGTTGTACAATAAAAGAATTATCTATAGTAAAATTATAAACACTATTTAATTTTATAATTACCTTTTTATAAAAATCATTTAATAACATTTTTATATCAATTAATATTATACTAATATTTTTTTCAGGAATAAGTAAGCATGTATGTGTTTTCACTGTGATAAATTATGTAATTAAACCAAATTAAAATAGAAACGACATAATACTTGTAATGACGGAATTAATTCACAACCCTTTATTTGAACATCTAAGTGTTTTTTATATGGGACCTTAATACGATCTGATGTCTACATGGTGAAAACAGAGACATCCAAAAATAGTATTCAATAGTGAATATCAGTTATTTATCGTCTTCCTACTAAATAGTTCTCAATAAATACGCCAAAACTGTTAATTATGCTTTATTCTAACAAGTGAAATGAAAACAACATCTATAATCTGTCAAATTTGCCAATGACAAAGTATGATTTTTATCAAAACTGGATTATCTAAGACCACCCTGATAGTTGCTGTCGTTTATAGATCTTAAACAAACTCTGGCCATCGATTCAAACTAATTACCGACCCAACGCCTCTTTCGAACTGGCCTATGTTGCTTGATTTCACATGTATCAACAATGGAAGAATCAATGGTGAGCTTCAAATTCTCTTCTGCTTCCTTTTTCATTGGGATGAGTTGCTTAAAGCGCTCCCTACGTTTCTCCATCTTGGCTAAGGAATCGAGAATCCTTTGACGGTCAAATCCACCAATACATTGTTCAGAACTACCTTCGTTTTGTGACATTCTCTTCACACTGTCAGTCACGGCTGGCCCTTTAGAAGCATCTCTTCTGGATGTAGAAGGCTTCTCAAATGATGATTTACATTTTTTTGTTACAATCTGACCTTCTTCGATATCCGAGCTTTCTTTCTGCCCTTGATCTTGAAGGTTCTGGACCAATTTCTTGCTTCCGAGGTTTCTCTCGTATTTAGAGGCATCAAATTTGCTGGCCCTCTCATTAGATTCATCAAAACCCACTGAATCTCTCATCCGTTTCTTGGCAATACACTGGTTGACATTTTCAAGCCTACCATTGGACAAGACTCTGGAACTTCTCACTTGAGACTGTCAAAAAGTTGCAATCAAACCAAAAAAACAGGAAAATATCAATACATATATAACAAGAAACATTTACACGGATATATGCAGAACATCGCATCAAATGTAAGAGTGAGGTGCGACAAATGTGAGCCACAGGGGTACAAAATATAAACATACAAACTAACAGAATGATTATTAGCAGTAACAATCAAAGCATTAAAATGAAAACAGGTTAAAAGTATTAGACACCGTTCGGGCTTCATTGTGAAGTCAACATGAAAAAAATTACAACACAATAGTCATTGAAGTTGTGTATCTGCAAACTCGTGTTAAATACAAATCGAATTGAGCATACACACTAACGTTTATTGACAAGTCTACTCATGGGATTAAGATAAACTAAGCATGAACATCAGGTTTATCACAAATTGAATATGGTAGAGTGGCCCATTTTTCATCACACATCAACAACAAATACACTTTCATGCTGCCAATCATCCTCTTTGGAAATTATTTTAAAAGAACTAAAACTTCAGTTTAAGAAAAGCCCACACTACAAAATTCAGAAACCTTACAGTATATATATCTTAAACATGTGATAGGCAGACAGGGCATTCAGCAGAGAAACGCAAAATACCTGAAAAGGCACATTCTGATTGTCCAAAATACATTTCTACATAAAAACCAATCCAGGCTTTTTAAAGTGATAAAATAATACAACTATTTAGCAGATACATGCATTTATAGAATTGAGTATACAATGCAAACTTGACTAAAGTTGGGAAGAAAAAGAGACAGCCTTGCCCAATTCTCTTCCCAGACTGCATATATAGGTGATCAAAGACTAAACAACATACTATGCCCATTGAGATCAAGGGGTAAATTGTAGTCTACCAATAATAGATACAGATTTGTGACGTACATATAACAGAAAGAGATATTCAAATCAAAATAAATGTGCCAGAAATGTGTGCTATCTAATGTGGAAGATTCAATCAATTAAAATCTAAACATAAAGAAAACACATACCATAAGCACAACAATTATCTCAAGCCATGAAATCTATGGATGTGACTGTGATAAGGATGATCATTAGCCACGTTTGATTGCACCAAGTTAATCACCACAACCCCTTACCATATTATGTCACATTCCAAGCACAGATCATGTACTAGTTTCACAAATGCAGATGGTTTAGAAGAAAAATAGAAAGTGACAGAAATTTTATCTATTATGAGCAATATCCAAAGCCTTATCCTATACTAACAAAGTTGCAAACACTATATCACTGCCGTATATACAATACAACTTGACAATATGAAATTAATGTTAAGATTTCAAGGAACTGCACAGATTTGTTTTAGATGCTTGATCCGAGATCCTCAAGATTTAGAATTTTTGCTTGATATTTTGCTGAAACTCAAAAACAACATCACGATCTGGCATTGGTCCAAACTTAAAAATCTTTTGAAGAAAAATAAAAGTTGACAAAAAAGATAAAACATAATTGATGTTTAGGAGTGAGCTAGTACAATTAAACTTACATGAGTAAAAAGCTACCAAAAATATAAGGCGCAACATGTTTGGTAACTCATTAATAAACACAGAAGTACAGATTCTTGACCATATTTTCCCCATCTTTACCTTTCCTTCCCTATCAATCAAGTCAGCTGATTTCCTGCATCTCAGCACTGCTTGTCCACCCTTACTTCTGTACATAGTCTTAGAGCTAGCTTTAAAATATTTCTCAGTATCACGTTTCGGAACATTTACCCAATGCCGTTGCAATGGCATATCATCACTCTGCACCTTAGCACAGAGAGTTGTTTCATGATGCCTATAAATAACTTCATCCTCAGTCCAGTCCAGGAACTTAGATGGGGACCTGTAAAACTGATACTCTTCTACAGGATAAATTTCATCTTTTACAGTTTCGGTATAATCACTTGACCAGTAACTGCCTCTGCTGTCCCTATCATGCTTATCTCTTCCATAATCCCCGAAGTTTTCATTCACTCTTGCACCATATGCATAATTTTTCATTGAATCTGTACAAGATTGTTTATGATACTTAAGATTTGAAGTATGGCAATGTGCATATTTTGGATAATTATCTTCCATTATCCCAGAACATGAGTTATTCAAAAGTAAACGGGAGCTGTCACAGTGTCTTCCCCTTGGGACAGATCTTTTCCAATCTCTACCAATTTGTTGAAATTGCTCTTCACAATTAATATATGAAGATTCCATTTCTCTCTCAGCAGCAGAAGTGGCCATCCTATAGCTCTTGTTTACAAACTCAAACTCACGTTCATCAAAACCATCAATGCATTTACTGTCGATGAAATGGGATCTTCCATCCATTCTTTTCCTTTGATTATGCCTTTCCTTATCAAGAAAAGATGAATGTTTTGGAAGAAACTGCCTAGGCTCCCTATAAGGGCAAGGATTCAGGTCATAAGCAGAGGACCCAAAACCAGGATGATACCAATCTCTATCTCTGTCCTCATTATCTGCAAAGCAATAACCTGGTTCAGAAATATAGTCCCCTACATCCCCATTTTTCCTGTCATATCGGTTAGTATTCTCCCTAAAGCTTCCTCGATCTTCATGATAATATTTAGTGCACCTTGTAACCAACTCATCAACAACCTTTTCATCGCCATAATAGTAGGATTGTTTTGTTTGTCTATTATATGAAACATCTCTTTTTCTTTGACTTCCAAAAGTTTGCCGTTGGTCTTTTTGTCTGCCATAGTCAACAAATCGATGAGCCAATGGAGACAGATCCCTCTTATTGGACTTGAGGATGGAAAAAACATCATTACCATTTTCAGTGTGCTCGTTCTTATCATAACCAGACTCATATCCTTCCCTTTGGTGCCTCCATTCTTTTCTGAATAGACCTCTAGTTCTTGAATTATAAGCTATGTTTACTGTTTTTTCATTGACACTGTTGTTTTTTGAGTTCTTCCAATTAAGTGGGGAAGATTTCTTCGTGTCAGTAACACAATTCAATGTTTTCCTTTTTATAGGGCTAATTGGGCTTGTATCATTATCAAGATGAACACTGTTTTCTGTTGGCTCAGAATCACTATCACTATAGGAAGTCAGGCTACACTCTTGATCTCCCAGTGACAGTTCTGACTCAATCCAATGTGGATAAGAACTACATGGTTCGATGCCACCACCTTCATCTGTCTTTATTTCCCCCTCTGGCACTTCTGCAGTATCTTCAGAAAGTTGATTGGGTTGATCTCGATGCTCATCTCCATTTACGCCAATTATCGTTCCAGTTCTGTGAAATGCATAGTCCAGATATAAGTTGTAAAGCGACTTCAAGAAAACATGGAAGTCATTTACAATAACTAATCAAAGGAAACAATGAATGCTGACAACTACACACAAGGGAATATTTTATATAAAAATTAGATGCAGTTAGAGTACATTGTTATGCAGTATGCTTTTTGTCCTATAAGATTTCACAGTCAGTCATCACAAAAAGTTGAGGAGAGAAGTTTGTATATTTGGCAAATAAAAAACCATTTACATATCTATATTACTTTATATTTTAGCATTGAACTTGAATTTGACTAATTTATCCATACTTCTAATATGAAATATACAAGAAGGCGACCAAGCTTCAATGATGTTCAAACAGATCTAAAATAATAAACAACAAAATATATTATATAGAAAGGAATCAGATAGACACAGTGTATCTGACCTTTTCAGAACAGAAGAGTCCTCAGCTTTTATTACATCTTCCAATTGATCTTCAGACACCACTTCATCCCGTTCATTAGAAGAATCAAGAATATTTCTCATATTGGCTGCCATAGATTCTCCTTCTAATGATGCATCCATTACAGTGCTATTGCCAGAACCAGAACAATCATCAGAGGATTCAAGCAGCTTTATCTGCCCAGAACCAACAGTAATTACTACAAAGACATAAGCAGCTACAGCACAAACATTTTAGTAAACAGACTGAATGCACACCTCTATAACATTAAAATCCCTATTGCGTGGTCGCCTTACATCTATGGATGGTTGTCGTTCAACCATGCTGTCCTCAACCTGAATTGCTCTGCCTTTCGGCTGAATTATCAAATATCAGTCATCAAACATTAACTTGGTATCAATATCCAAGTTCATAATTGGAAGTAACAAGTAATAATTTAACTTGAAGAAACTCACAAACAACCAAAAGCTATAAAATTATAAGGAAAAGATGGAAGGGGAGGAGTGGAACTCTGGTTGTTACTCTTAATGTGGGTGGAGCTCTGATTGTTACTCTTAATGTGGGTGCGAGATGCGTTACAAATTATTAACAATATGCTATTAACTAAGGTCAAGGACTAACCTAGTGCAATTAATACAAATGCATCCCAATAATACCGTAAATAAACATGACTCTGAACACTTTAATATTCCTAGTCTTGTAACTAGAGCTAACAGATGAATATCTGCTTACCAATTCACAATCTGATGAAGGAAAAAGTACACTCCCTAACACAGCTTGATCACTTTGCTCTCTTACGGCTTCCTGAAATACTTATACCGGGTCAGCAAGATCACTCGAGAATTCTCCACAAGTAACCCAACTACTTAATTGTTTACGTTAAACACCTGATTCCATTTAGCAGAGCTATCAACTGAAATACAAGTTTGCAAGGATGTTCTCCAAAGTTGCTTCTGTACAGAGTGTAAAACTCTAATCAGTTGAGTTTCTCCTATGTCTAATAAAACCAAATGCTGATTAATTCACCATTATACCATTAAACAGACAACATAGTGGGTAATACAAAAAACGGTAGCAGAAATTCTAATAAAGGTACAAGGGAAATGGATAAATAAATTGTGAGCATCTAAACAGAGAAACCAAGAGACAAGCGTCACGTAATAGCTAAAACTGAGATCTCTTGGAAATAATAATATACCCACCAATGAAGCACAGTATAGTTTCCAAGTGCTCTCATTAAAACCAAAGTTAAAGTAATTTGTTATGTCAACTCCAGGAACATTCCATGGCTTCTCCATAAATGTATCAATGTTTACATCAAATATGCCCCTGCAATAGAGGGGGGAAATCACAGTAAATAATAAGTTACACAAATGCTAGCTAGAAAAAAATAACATGTACAAAAAATCATGACCGCTAACTCACACCCCAATTAGTTTATCAAAGCAACAAAATTCAATAAGTTCTGTTTGAACTGCGTATAAAAATACACACACTGACCAATACCAAGGAAGAACCGATCCATATCCACATTGAACAGCCACAGGATTTGCTGCAAGGCACACTCGAGAGGAGCTCAACGCAAGGTTCTGGATGCAGGCATCACCATTCCTCCTCCCTTTATTCAAGGATGAAATGTAGGAAGACATCCCCATTGCCGCATTGGCCGTCATAATATTAACAAACGCCAATCCTCGACTCCTACCACTCTACAGAAATGAACCACAGTTCACCATGAACAACACAACTTCAACAATTTTAAACACCAAAGGAAAGTAACGAAAACATCACGCCATTCATGAACTCAATCTATCTTATATTCATTACTGTGTCCGCAAATAATAGCAACATGAATCCAAATTCATATTATCTAAAAAACTAAACAACAGAGAAAAGAGGATAAGTGGTAGAATCACGTAACAGACCTTATTAGCATACAATCTGGAGCCATTATCATCACCATCATCGCCATATCCACCGTCATCGTCACAACCAACAACTCCGACAGGAGAATCCTCGTCATTCAGCACGATTTTCAAATCGTCGTCGCTGTCACTGGCAGCAGCAGAGTCATCATTCACTTTGTCGTCGCTCTTGTCCTCATCCAGGTTGAAAATGTTACTGTTCACATCCAGTTTTTCTTCTTCCTCTTCGTCTTGTTCTTCGGCGGTGGCATTGAGAACTTCAATGTCGGCGTAGAGTTCGCCGAAATCATCATCATGGTGGAACTCTTCCATTTTCAGTGACTGCTTCACAGCCACCTAAACCCCGATAAAGCTTTAAATATCCTCACTTTCTTTTGGAAGTATAACCCTTCTTAACTAAAACATATTTTTTTGACAAAACCCTTGCACAGTCTTAAACCCTAAACATTCTAAACTGACTACAGTGAGAGTTAATTATTAATGTAATATAAAAATATTCAAACATTTTATTTTCTCTTTTTTTCTATACTTGTTTTTCTATGTTGTATAAAAAAATGTACAAGATCATGGTGAATGTATAATTTCTTAAATGATTGTTTAGGCTTAACTTTTTTATTTTCTCTTTTGGAGGAAAAAATACTTTTTTTCGTTTTGTCTGCTGAGTTTTTTTTCTTATCTCTGTACAAGTATTTTGAAAACAAAAAGAAAGAAAAAAAACTGATTTATTGAAATCGAACAGAAAATTACTTCATATCTTCGTACGGTGACTTAAGAAAATAACATATAATTAACCTTCATCTTGTTGTATATGGTCAATTTAAAAAAAAAATATATATATATATATATATATAGGATTTTTAGGTTAATTAATAAATATTTATATTTTAATAATTTAAGCAAATGAGGATAAAGATAAAAATAAGTATTAAGACATATACAAAGAACAAATAAGACGAATATATATTCATAATTTTCCCAACATATTGATATTTGTAATTTTTTTAATAAATTTTCATTACATATACAATAATAATGGTGTGACATAATGAAAGGAGAACCATTAATTCTTTGAAATATGTTAATTGACAAGTGTAGTTTGTAATTCTTTAGGATTTTTTTCATGTAACTTAGGGTTTTTTTTAGAGGAGTTGTTAGAGTTATATGTTATTTGATGAGCATTTGATATTATACATCACAAAAGGAACAATTTATCGGTTTATAATCGTGTAAATAATGTTTTGAGGTCGTCTTTAATGTTTCTTTCCGCATCCTCACATAAAGAATTTTTCATTTTGATTTTTTTATTGTGTAATATGAAAGTTGAAAATAGTTTTTAAATTATGTAATTCGAAAAAATAATTAAATTTTACAATTTTAAATTAAAATTGGATTTTAGATTGTAAGTCAAAAGTAACTTTTATAATCTAAAAGTCAATAATGGTTAAAAAATAGTTATATATTATACGATCAATAAATTAGTTGACTTTCAAATTAAATTATTCCGAACATATTTTTAGGTTCTAAGTTACAAAATCCGAAAAATTTTATTAAAAAAATAATTTTCAGGTTTTCATTTTTGCTTTCGGATTGTGTCACAAGTTTTTATTTTTAAGAAAAAAAATAGTTTCAAATTACAGAAGTGGGGATTTTATATATATGGGCGGTAGGAAAAAAATAGGTGGAGGTGCAGAAAGAAATACCATGTTTTGAGCCTGTTGTACTGGAGGCTTTCAGCATAGGTCCAGTTATATTACTTGAATCCCTTCATAGTTTTAGGCCGAAATTAAAGCAATGGGGTTGGTGAATGTGTTGCTCTCTCCACCTTCACAGCCTTCTCCCTCCACCTCCCCAATTATCTTTAATTCCAATTATATCCTTAAAGTTAAAATTTTTTATTTTTATTATTTTAATATTTTAATATTTAAATATAAACTAATATAAATATACATTATTAAAATACATTAAAAAGATATTCAAAAGTAATAAATCAAAATATTAAAATATCTAATAAAATAATAACAGAAACATAAAATTAAAACAAAGCTTAAACGGATGACATCCTTCAACGGATGTTGACATCCGTTGAAGGATGTCATCAGTTTAGGCTTCGTTTTCATTTTACGTTTTAGGGTTAAAGAATTATTGGAAAGATTATTGGAAGGATTATTGGAAGGGTTTAGGGTTTAGGGTTTAGGATTATTGGAAGGATTATGACTACGTACCTGGAAAGGAACCACGACAAGCACATTACACCACAAACGCACTGCACCACGTACTGCACCGAAAGCAAGAGGAAGATTGCTTGATAATTCTTTTCACGATCACTGAGCTTTGCAGAAAAATATTTTACTCATACAAGGAACTACGTAGGTTATCAGTGAAATATGTTATAAATGAGTAAAATTAAAAAACAATAATTCTAAAAATAAAATTTTACTGAGGGGCAAAATAGTAAAGGGGAGGTGGAAGGAGAAGGCTGTGGTGGTGGAGGGAGCAACACCCTAAACAAAATATAACAAGTCCAGTGTGGTTGTTGCTTCCTTTATTCCATTAAATTTCTTCCTGTGTCCCATCATTCCGGATTTTAGTTTCCACAATACATTAAATCAATTCCAGAATTTTTTTTCAGAAGACAATCATCCCATTCCTATTGGAAAACTTTTCCAGGAAACTTTTGATGGGATGCAGAGAGAAAATTGATCCATGTTGGTTCTTTAGTTGGTCAAGGATATTCTTGCTTCTTCTTGGCCCTTTACCCATACTTGGAGAGCAACACTCAGACGTTCATGAAATTTGCATAGTTGGTGTCACATTGTATGAGAAATGTACTGGTGTTTTTTTTTGTGCTAGTTGAGACTCCTCAAGCCTTCTTTTTTTCTATCAATGGGAAACATTTTTGGTAGAGAAAAACTAGATCACATCATTTTTCAAAATTTTTTATGCTTTTGTTATATAAAATAGTAATATATGTTAGTAAATACTGTGGAAATTTCACTTAAATTAAAAATAAAAATTAATTTACAATATATAAATGAAATAGTTTTTATTTTATTAGATGATTTTGAGAGAGTAAATTAAATTTAAATTTACTTTTTATTACTATTATACTTAATTTTTTAAAATTTGTTACGTCTAATATAACACTTGTCATTAGATTGTTTTTACTAATTAAATATCATGATTCATAAGTTAGTTTTTTATTTTCATATTTAATGCATTGTTTCTATGTTTGATTTGTGATTCTTAAGGTATTGGAAAATATCTTTAGAATCTGGACTTGAAATTAAACGTCTAATAAATGCTTGTATCTATGAATAAAACTTAGTTCATTAATAATCTTAGACTCTTGAAATTAATGCATGATTTCACTTGTTGAAGATTTAAGGGATTGAAACCTAATGTGTGACCATACGCTAAAAGACTTTAAGAATAGAATTTGAATATGTTAGTGAGTTGATTTTGACTTGAATATAGAATTAAGATATTTGTGAATGCATGAGAATAAAGTATATCAAATCTAATTTGACAATTATAAATAATCTATGTTAAAATTCTTGTTGCATACAAATTGTTTGATGAAAAGAGTTTCCGTTGTGTTTTTGTGAACTTTGTGGTCAATTGAGTTATTCAGTGCAAGAATTATTGAGTGTTACACAAATTTCTTGGAAGAAAACAATGTTTATCACTTGTTACGTGTGATGGATGCACTTGTCATTTAGTTGGTTTTGTACTAACACAAAGTCACTACAAATAGGATTCGAGTAATCATATGAGTTGATTTTGACTATAAATTGAAATTGAGATATTTGTGAATACATTAGAATGAAGTAGATGAAATCTAATTTTGACAATTGAAAATACTTTAAATTAAAAATTTTGTTACACATTAACTATTTGATAAAAACTCAAAGAGTTTCCGTGCTTTTGTTATCTTTGTGTCTAATTGAGTTGTGAATTGCAAGAGTTGTCGAGTGTTGCACAAATTCTTTGAGAGAGAATGATGTTTATCACGTCTTACGTTTAACAAGTACACTTATCGTATTGTTGGTTTTATGTTAATAGTAAGAAGTAAGAGGAAGAGGAGGAGGCACAGATAAAGGTAATCATGCACTCACGGAAGTGGCACAATATAGCAGCGGGGAATAATGATAGTGGAGGCCACAGTGGTAGTGATAAAGGATGAAAAGAATGAGGAAGAGAAAAATGATAGAAAAAAAAAAGAAGAAGAGAAGGAGGATGATGAAAAAGGAAGAAAAGAAGAAATAAATAATAGTAAGTAGTGACAAGATGGAATCAAACCAAAGGAGAAGAGGAGAATTAAATCACAATATTTAATACCAGATTTTACCTAAAACCAAAATTTGCATGTGACTATTAATAGATGTTTATAGACAAATAATTTCGTATAGATTATGATCCTTGATAATTATCAAATAGTTATCAACAAATATTTCTCCATAATTCAAACTTATTTGTAAAGTTTATCTACAATATTTTACACACAAATATGAAACAACTTTTGTACCAAAAAGAACTCGCTTTTTAAAGGAGAAAGTTTTTAAAACTCTCCTACATTCTATCAAAATTGACCCACGTAAATGACCATAGGGAAATTGGGATTTGTTTAGTTGGATTTCAGTTTTTTTATTTCATTTTTAGAATATATTTCTTAAATCAATTTTAGAAAGAATAGAGAGAAAATGCGTTTGGTTAAAAAATCTGGCAAGTATCCGTTTCAACTTGTTGACACCATAATCCATCATAAATGAAACTTCCTTTTTCGTTCTTGAATCTTGTTTTTATTTTTATGATTTAAAATCTAATCGGAAACTATTGCTTTTAAAACACCAAACATTATAAATCAATTTGTTAATTCTAAAAAGAAAAAAACTGTTTTTGAAAACAAATGTCAAATAGATTTTTATTTTTTTCCTTTGAATAGCGTTACCCAACTTGACTTATTAGACCCCACCACACTAATTAAAATGGGATCAGATACAAAGTAGGAAAGTGACCTTCAATTCACCCAATAATGTATGTTTGGCATTGGAGCTAGTTAGCTACGAACTTGGTCGATTTTTATGATGAAAAAAGATGACCAGGGAGAGCAATTTCCCATTTGATTTCTGTGTTAATAATTTAGTTTATTCAATATAGTACTAGCTAGTATGTCAATTATGTTTCTAATTATGATTAGATTGTGGCAACCTAATAATGTGTGAAATTTAAAGTGGCTGCAGCTATTAAATTCAATCACATGGTTGGTCACAGATGCACGAACAGGGTGACCAGGCTCTCCTCGATCCAAACCTTAGGTTACTATAAGTTGCACACTAATAAATTCATCTTCATGGTGATTCTTTTACCTATCTGAACAAGAAAGTAGTACGTAGCCGAATCCAAAGGGTGTTTGAACCAAAAACATGTGCCTCTCAGAAGCATAGAAAGAAAGATGCAAGTTCATCCATCATTTCACAACTATCGGTAAAACGCTGCTTTGTCTTTTGGCAACCTAACAGTGACTTACAACTGCTGCATGAATGTTGAATTCAGAGGTATCTTTCAGTCACATTTTGTAACCAGTTGCTAGGTTATAGACCCTCTTTCTTCCACTGTCAAATACACATATCTTCTTTTCACGTGTGTGCCTTCTAAGTGGTAAGCATTATTTATGGCATAACTTTGCTGGGGATTCATACACATGCATACATAAAAAAGTGTTTCATAACATAAGTTTTTGATGAATGAGACATGCATGATGATGCATGCAATGCAGCCGTGTCTACACATGCATGGATATCATTCATGGAGGGTCAAATTCTCTTTTTGTCAAAGTTGGTATAGGTCTATAATATTATGCAGGTGAAACAAAAAATAGAAATTTATGATTAGAAGAATAGGAAGCGGTTTTACAAGTTCACGCTTTCTTCTGACAGAGTGGACTGCCATTGCTTCCCTGTAAATTTCTTCTTACAGCTTACAAGTCATGGTGCATTGTCCCCATCTCTGGATGCTACATCCATGTCATGTAAAAAGAGAAGGGTAAGAAAAGGAAAAATGGAATATTGGAATTTGTTATACATGAACTCAGGCTGTGTATGAAGAAACAGAGAAAGAGAATTATTTTTTGACCAGCAAAATTTGTTCTTTCCTTTCAACCTTATGTTGCCTCATAAATAACACATGAGAAGGATCCTTCATTTTTAGCTTATTTTTTGCATTCATTTTCTGCATGTAGAAATATAAACCTTGATTATATAAATTCTATTAAATTATTAATTTTGTACAGCAATAACAAATGAAATTCATAACATAAATGACTTCGAAATCAGTTATTATAGAAGGAAATAAACTTGACTTTCATAATGAGTTTATAGATTATTAATTATCATTAAAAAATCACCGTAACAGTCAAATTTTATGCATAAAATAACTGTTTGTCCATTATTATAACCCATGAATAAAGCGGGGGACCTGAACCTAGAGAGGACTTAAAATCTGCAAACCAATCATAGCATTGTTGTACAATAGGGGTCACCACATATCAACCCTCCAGATAACATCCCCTTCTCTAGCACCTTCAAAATTCTTTCCAAAAACTTGTTTGTGAAGAAAAAGCCAAAGAAAGATAGCCATAGCACTCTGCAATTAACATGACCATCACAAACTCTTGTCCTCTGATAATCTTTCTGTGCTTCACAATGCCCCGTTTTCTATTTTGTGATGAGGAACTGCATTCAGGTACTGAAGCAAATCCCTTACCTTTTTTTTTTTCTCTAATGATTATGCTTCTGCGACCCTGAAGCTTACATAATATGTTAGCAGGTCAATCGACCCAGATTTTGCATTCTTTCCATGAAGACAGAAACGGGTCCAGAACAGTGTCAGTGAAAGCAGAACATGCTGCCTCTACAAAAAATTTGTTGCATGGTATATATATCTTACTCTTCCAGCTATGATGAAAAAATAAAAAATTATTTTTCATTTTTCTATTCATTTTTGGAGTCCCTTTTGACCGTGCCTTTGATCATGATGACTTTAGGTTCTTGCACAAGCAAAGACATAAGCATCTCACAAAGCACAAGTTCTACATCAGGAATACCACAGTTCATTGTGCAGATTGTTAACACGTGTGTTTCTGGATGTCCTCCCCGTGACATTCACCTCCACTGTGGTTGGTTTGCTTCTGCTAGACTAGTGAACCCCAGATTGTTTAAAAGGATCTCCTACGATGATTGCTTGGTCAATGGAGGGAACCCTTTAATCCCTAGCCAGATAATCAGAATTGCATATTCCAATTCTTTCATGTACCCTCTTGCTTTCAAGTCTGCAAAATTTTGCTGATGAATCCAAATATAAGGTAGAATAAGTAGAAGACTTCTTTGAAATGATAACCAACCAACCCATGAGTTCACCACCTTCTATTTCTGTGGCTGTAGCTGCATGTTGCATGGAATACTGTAAAATAATTGTGGTATATTATTATTAGTGTGTCTCTCACTGAAGATAATCATTCTTCTTGATAAATACTTTTTCGGGTAATTTCTTCTTTATACTTTATGAACACTTCCCAAATCAATTAACAAAACATTATAGTTTACTTCTCTTCAAGTTATATAAAAAAAATTATACTTAATTTTAAAGTTACTAAATATCTAGTCAGTTTATTTTTTATTTTATTTATAATTCTAGGAATAAATAATTACCATTCTATAATTTTAAGAATTAAAAAATTAATTTACATTCAAAAAGCTATTAATTAATATTATGATTTTGTGTATTGTGTTATTATATTTCACACTTTTTTTTATGTATATCCTTTATGATAGTTCAATCATTCGGATGGTGAACTTAACTTAGATACGAGTCACTGTTTGAAAAGTAAATTGGTCGATCATAAATGTGAATCATCTATTTTTTTATCTCAAATATTTATTTATACATTATGGGATGAATTTTTAATTAATATTGACTTAATCATAACCTAATTGTGGATAATCATACTTTATGTTCAAGTTAATCAGCGTTAAAGTTAATGTGCCTGATTTATGACCGAGCTATTTGTTTTTTGACATACGGATTTTATTAGTAATTTGTTGGATAATTCAAATTAAAGTTAATTCTTTTATTTGTGGTTAATCGAACACTCAGATAAAATATAATAATTTGAAGAAATAATAATATTTATTTCAATGTTTTAAAACATGTTAAAAACTTTTATAATGTATAAACATCACTTTATTTTAAAATATAATTTTATTGTTCAATATACAATTCAATAATAAATAATTTATTGATAATAAAAATCTTATATCATTAAAGAAATAAAATTTGAAATAATTTTTTTCTATAATTAAAATTACTTTTATCAATAAAATGTAATGAATTAATTAATTAACACAATAATTAAAAGAATAATAAAATATCAATAACTAATGGTAAAATAATCTTATATTATTATAGAAAAAAAATTGAGATAAATATTTTCCTATAATTAAAATTATTTTTAACAATAAAATCTAAATGAATGAATTAATAAATTAGCACAAAAATTAAAAGCGTAAAAAATTATCAATAATGAGAAAAAAATTACACTATAATAGAAATATAATTTGAAATACTCTAAAATAATTGTGGAATTATTATTAGTGTGTCTCTGATCGAAGATAATCATTCTTCTTTATAAATACTTTTTCGAGTAATTTCTTCTTTATACTTAACACTTCCCAGTTCAATTAACAAACATTATAATTTACTTCTCTTCCCAAATCAATTTCTTCTTTATATTTTATTGAAACTTTTTTTATGTTTCTAGACAAAAATACTCTGATATTATAATTCTAGGCAATTTTTTAATTAGGTATATGTACAAGTGGTGCGACACCCACATGACTTTAAACGTATAGAAGTTGAATAGGAGGTACACGACTTTGATATATTCACAATAAAAAAGATGAAGTTTTACATCTTTACATTTTTTTTATTCTTGATAATCGATTACACAATATTAAAATTGTGCAGGGCACACAACTTCTGTACAGCGGATGGAATTCGAATCACAGATCTACCAGAAGAAAAATGGGAAACTAAAATATAATTAAGATATAATTGATTATGATGTAAGTTTTAGTTAAATTAATTTTAAATAAGATATAATTGTGATTACAAAGTATCTACCTATTTTTTCTTATTATGATTAAGATATAAATGATTATGAATGATTATAATTTAAGTTTTAATTTTAATTGATTATAATTAATATATAATTAATTATGTTGATTATATCTTAATTTATTATATTATAATTTTTAATACGATGAGCAAGTAAAATTGTTTCTATGAGGCTTTTTAATAATGAGAATATAATAAAGAAACATTTATTATATATTATTTAAACCTATATATATATATATATATATATATATATA